TGGCTCTTTGGGTGTTAAAGGTTGCTGACCCCTGGCCTAGATGATAAATACAGTTAGAGGTGTGGCTGCTGTGACTGACAGGTGTTTGGGACACGGGTAGGCGGAGCTAGGCCTCTTCTTCGCCTGTGGTTGTGCGTGTCGGAGGAATTTTAATGGATTATTTGATTAATATTATGGGTTATTTTGTGTGTGAGAGACATGTTCGTGCTTCACTTTTACTTTAACTTCCATTAGTCTGTTACTCAGCACTAATTAGCTGACATGAGAACCTGTGCTCCTCACTTTACGAATGCAGCTTGCTAATACCAGATAGCTTAGCACTCCACCCTTTCCTCTAGTCGGGTCACTTGAGGATGCGATGTCACGTGGCTGTGTCTATCTTTTGTTTGGTTTGGACGAAATGTGTCCGGACATTATTCAGTTTCCTTCAGTTTTATTTATAAAGCGTGAAATCACAGCGGTAACCTCAACGTGCTTTATAAAATAAACTCTTCGACCTTTCCCAACTCTTTTACAGGAAGTGATAGTGTTACAAGTTGACTGCAAAAATGTCAGTTTTAAAAACTACCGATTTATCTATTAATTTATTTATTTTGAGGACCACCACAGAGAGCTCAGAAATTAGCTTCAGTAAAAAACAAACAAACAAAAAACGCTGATCCGTGTTCCCTACAGGAGGAGTGGGGCAGATGTGGGTGTGACAGCTGACAGTGCTGCTCTGTGACGTGGAACACCGGGTGCAGCACGCTTACAACACCACACGCTCTTCTTTTTTCTTACTGTTCACAATAGATGATCACGGTTTCCGGCCCGAGCCTGGAACACTGCCGCTTCATACACAGATTTGGGTGAGTGTTGTGCTGGCCCGAACGACACACACACACACACACAAGTACGGAAGGAGTAGCACTCAGCATGTCAGGGCTTTCTTTAACACACAGGCTCCTCCCTTTCTGGGTACAGCAGTCTCAGCTGTTTCTGTCTGTACTCTGGGTCTGTCTCTCTTTACAGGTCATACATGAGCTGATCTGCAGCAGACCCACAGTACGGATTCCACCACGTATGATTAGTTGATTTTATTGCAGGGAGGTCCCTGTTCAGACTAAGGAGGGGTAGCTTTGACACACCTTGTGTAAACCTGTTCAATGAACATTGTGACTTTATCTGTCATTTCTTTACCTGTTTTGGACCAAGATGTCATTTCACACACTACATTAGTCATATAAAGACATTTTGAATTTGTTGTACAGCACAGCAGGAATTCTAGGAGTCTGTGAATAGGATGAGACAGGGAGCCCAAGAAAACAAGAACCGACTTTGTTATTGTATTCAGACTTGACTTAAGAAAGAAAAATAACAAAGTACTTCTACTGCGAGTCCCTAAAGAAAAATCGTCATCATGTACAATGGCATACATGATGTTAATGGCAAATTTTATTTCATCTATATTACTTGATAGGTTTTTTTCTATAATGTTACAAGAGAATGTGGGTGTGTATAGCTGTGTGCGTCTATAAGCTAACTTTGTGACAGACTGGCGACCTGTCCAAGGTGTACCCTGCCTCTCGCCCTATGACAGCTGTGATAGGCTCCAGCTCCCAGAATTGTAGAAATACAGAAAAAGTCTGATGATTAGGCCTAGCACGAGCTCAGCTTGCCCTGCCAGCCTTGCAGTACACTGAAATTGAAGATGATAGTGACAAACAGGCCTTTCTAGCAGATAGCAGTGTTTCTGTTTATTGGCAATAACAATAATTACTGTTGGTTGTTCAAAGCAAAGCTTGTTCTACAGCAGTCTGTGCTGTATTTCACACTTGGGACTCAAGGAAATAGGGACGTTTCTGTCATGCAGGTTTCCTGGGAGGAGGGACGATGCTGCAGGAGTCGTCAGTAGACAGCAGTGGCTCCAGGTTCGCTCCTCTGGTGGTGCTGGAGCTGGCCTCAGACACCAAGGAGGAGGCCGTTGCCTGGTTGCTGAGCAGGATAAGAGACCGGCAACAGAATGGAGGTGTGGAAGACCATCTGCGCCCCTCGAATCATCTTCCCTTGTTTGACGTGGTATTATTCATCCTGTCATTTCTTCCAGGTGCTGAGCTGCTGGTGGAGCAGTTGGGACCTGGAATCGGGGTGGAAGAGAAGGAAAACCCCAACATGTTTTTGGTGGGGGCCTCCATGCAGAGGCTGCTCTGTGGTGCAGAAGATCTGGGGCTCTTTAAGGAGTGTACTGACGGGTCCATGAGAGCCTTCACTTTTGCCAGCAAACACAACTTCAAAGATTTTAAAGGCAAGTCTACTGTTTAGTTTGTGAAAATGTATGCTTTAGACTAGCATCTTATTGTTATTGTTAACTTGCAGCCTTGCAGTTTAACACAGTCAGGCTTTCTTTGTGTTAGCTGGTTTTCAGAAACCTTAAACAGTCAGTCAGAGGTAACTCGTATCACTACCATATTTACCAGCCTCCTTGTTGAGTCAGCTCTGTGCAGACTTGCATAAATAAGGGGAATTTAATGCATTATTTGATTCTTCTTCAACACAAATCAATCTGAGTCTCATTACCGCTCACATACTCTGTCTGAAATGAGTGGCGTCACCGTAACAGCCTGTGAAAACATGCCTTTGTGGTGAATGGCACTGTGTTTCTGTTCCATCTCTTCAGGGGATGGAGACGGCTTCCTCAGTATGGCTGAGTGTCAGTATGTTATCAAGCATGAGCTGGACACGCTGCGAGCCAAAGAGGAGACTAATGTTCCAGGATACAGTCATGCCAAGCTCTACCCTGGGAAATCTATCAGTGAGTCTGTGTTCACGTCTCAATCTGTTTCAAATGAGCTTTGCAGTGACCAGTTTGCTGATGTTGTGTATTTCACTCACAGGAAGACAAAAGAAAACGGTCTCATCTAGTTCCTTCTTTCATGCATACATATTCTTTGTTGCTTATCCAGCTGAAGGTGGGCAGGGTGCATGCTGGACAGATTGCCGGTACTTCATAGCACTGCTGAATTTAACAGCTGAAATTCCAGGAAACTGTACTAAATTAGGATGTGCAGACATCCCAGAATAAAACTGGGAAACTGATCAACCTCAGAAGTAAAACCACACACAGGTGATGTGAGTAAAACATGGCAGTGTATTATCATACAGGGTTTTGATGCTGTGGCCAATTTTATGCTTGTCCTCTAAACTGTTTTTCATTCTGTCGCTTACAGATAAACATTTTGATAATTGATCAGTCATTTCATTTGTATAGGAATACAGGTCCAGCTTCTCATCTTAGAGACTTGACTGTTTTCATTTTGGTCTGTTTGATGCACAAAGAGAACACATTGTGTAAATCGTGGTTTAGTCGGGGCTAAATGATTTATCACTCCTCAACCTTAGTTAAATATACACTCGGCATTTAATCATAAAACTATCAGAAAGACATTTGTTAGAACCTGTTTATAACAACATTAGCCACAGCAGAGTATGTTTTTATTAGCTGATACACAGATTAGATAATTTCACTCCTATTTTTTTTCTCAGTTTCAGCTTGTGACAGATTTGACTGTTTGAGCCTCTCCTGTGGTTCATCCACACTTGCTTGCGGTTTGATTTACAGATTCCTGTAGTAGTAACGGTAGCAGACTGTAGGCTGAACACAGACTGTGTCCTCCTCACACCCCGCTATCTCTGCAACCCCCTCCCTTCGTCTGTCTTCAGTATGGAAACAATAAATATGCAAATGCAGTGAAATAGTCCCAAAGTGAGATAAGGAACCAATGAACTTGCAGTGAAGATAGGGCGCCTCTATTCAACGCCTGTGTTTGACAAATCGTGTTAAAATAGAATGTAATTATTTTTTGACAAATGATGCACTCAAAAAATGGCAGATGAAATGATAGCGCTTTCATGTGCTCGTATTTAGCTGCTGCATATTGGACAATAGTAATTATTGCTATAGTCATTATTGTATTGTGTGGAATGGGCCGGCTCCCAGCTATTGTTAGCCTGCCCTTGTTTTACAAAATGAAATGCATGTTTATTTAGTTGGGAAAGTGAGTTCAGAAAAACTCAAGAGAAGGATGGAAATGCAGCCAGAAGGTTTTCATGTGGAATATCTTCCAAATAATTCACAAGTTTGAGTAAAAACTTCCTGTTTTATCATCACTGTACATGACTAGAGTGGGGGGTGAGACAGAAAGTAACATGCTTTTTTTTGTTGTTTTCTTTACTTGTATCTTAGTTCGCAGACTGCTCTCCAAAGGGATCTTAATCCAGATGTTTCCTCTGCATGAAAACGAAGAACTCAAGAGGCTTTCTTTTTCCTGGTATAAAAAAGTGAAGTTGTCGCTTCAGCCTCTGGGTAAGTGCATCTTGTGCCATTATTTTTCATGGTCACTCTTGAATACATTGTGTGATTAAAACGAACAGTCCACGTTATGGAGTATGCACACTTGCAAAACAGGTCTCTGTACATCTGCATTTCTAATATGTCCCCAGACTGTAATGGGAGCGATGCACTGTCAGTGCTCCTGATCACTACTGACTCTTTCATCTCTATCCCCAGACGACATCAGACACTACTATGGTGAGGGCCAGGCTCTCTACTTTGGCTTCCTGGAGTACTTCACCTTTGCACTGGTGCCTATGGCCCTCATTGGGGTGCCTTACTATCTGTTTGACTGGGAGGACTATGACAAATATGTAGGCTTTGCTGTCTTCAACTTGATCTGGTGCACTGTTATCTTGGAGGTAAGGAGACATGAAACAGTATGCGGTATGATATCGTTCTACCTATTGATCTATTAATCTGTGATGGCTGCAGAATATAGTTTGGTGTGTGGAGGCACAAAGCTCACCATCCTAAAAATATGGTACACATAGAAATTGGGCAGTGATGAGTAAATAGGCTCCAAAGCCTGCAGGTGGATGCTGGGGTGGTGGAGGGGTTAAAACAGGAGCGGTAGAAGTGAATCTTCAGCTCTTTGATGTAAAGGGATTGAATCTTTTCAAGCACTTCAGACGTTTAACTGTGATGTGTGGTTTAACTTTTCATTCTTTTTTACACTAAACAAGAGAGAAAATTGACCCTTTAATTGTAAAGGAAAATATTACCCTCTGCTGCTTGCAATGTGGTCTTAACTCCAAAAGTGTTTGTTAAAATCGTAACAGAATTTTAAAATGCTTCAGCTGACTTGCTGAACCTTTGTGCCCACCAGTTATGGAAGCGACGCAGTGCCTCACTAGCCTACTACTGGGGCACGCTGTGCAGAAAAAAGGCCTTTGAAGAACCTCGGCCTGGATTTCACGGCGTGCTTGGTCACAACCCTGTGACGGGACGTGCAGAGCCTATCTACCCCACCTCCAAGAGGCACCTGCGTGTCTACCTTGTGTCTCTGCCCTTCGTCCTGCTTTGCCTCTACCTGTCCCTCTACGTCATGATGATCTACTTCCAGATGGAGGGGTGGGCTCTGTCCATCTATGATGAGAACCCCACATTCTGGACACACATTCTGCTATTCATCCCTAGTATCATCTATGCTGTGGTCATAGAGGCGATGAACCTCATCTACAGATATGCTGCCGAGTTCCTCACTGAATGGGGTAAGTCCACTTTTTCATTATTGTGCATTCACACCAAACCATGTTTCTTGCATTAATACAAGCTCTGGTTAGAGGGCTTGATTGTTGATGATATTACAAGTAGGGATGCACCGATACCGATACTGGTATCGGGTATCGGGGCCGATACTGTAAAATGTGTGTGTACTCATACTCGTAAAAGTTAACCG